TTACGCCCGCGGCGCGCAATCTCAAGAAAGAAGCTGCGCATAGTGGTGGGCGTGAGGAGGCGGCTATTACACGCGCAGAGCGCGCAAATCGCCAGGTCTCTCCGCTAGTGACGTCATCGGTAACGTTTTGAAGCGAAGTTCCTTTTACATCTAGTCGCACCATTATACTTCCGTCGCCTTCTGATCGGTTAGAGAGAAAGCAAGAGCGAGAGCGAGAGAGAGGAGAGAGAGATGAAGAGAGGATGAGAGCGCCGTGAGAAAGGAGGAGAGAGAGAGGTGGCGAGCGAGCGAGAGAGAGAGCGAGAGTAAAAGAGCTCGCTCTTACGCGCGCTCTCTCTCTCTCTCTCTCTTTCTCCTCTCTCTCGTTCTTCTCTCTCTCTCTCTCCTTCTCTCTCTCTACTCTCTCTCTCTCTCTCTCTCTCTCTCTTTCTCTCTCTCTCCTTCTCTTTTTTCTCTCTCTTTTCTCTCTCTCCTTCTTCTCTCTTTCTCTCTCTCTCTCGTCTCCTCTCTCTCTCTCTCTCTCTTCTCTCTCTCTCTCTCTCTCTCTCTCTTCTCTCTCTCTCTCTGTCTTTCTATCTCGCTCGCGCTCTCTCTCTCTCACTCTTACTCTCACTCTCTCTGTCTCGTCCTCTCCCACTCCCTCTCTCTATATTTCCCCTCTCTCCTTCTCCCTCTTTTCTTTACTATCTTTTTCTCTCTCTCTCTCTCTCTCTCTCCCTCTTTCTGTTATTCTCTCTCTTCGTACTATGCCGCTTCTATGGCGACGCGGGCATCTAACGCCGTCATAATTATTTGCGATTAGGATAATAGTTGTAGCTATGTGATATCTGTCGCCCATCGATCTTCGGAAGATGAGATGGGAGGAGAGAGAGATGTTCGGCGATTTATCTCAATCGATTAAGTCTTAATTCTTAATGATGATCACACGTCTTACCGACAGCACTCCGCTGTATCCACCAGCAGGTATAGAGCTAATGCGCCAGCACACCCATCTTCAGTAGAAATATTAATAATGTAAAACGCCACGCATACTGCCTTGAAACTAGTGTGGAATTTCGCTGTAATTGTGATTCCATGATGTGACGTCATCTTATTATTTCCACAAATCTGCAGACACTCCCTTCATCTTCGCCTGTCCTTGACTATCTACGCACATTTTTTGTGAAATAAAAACAACGTGAAAACTCCTAATCCATTATCTGGTTTATTACTAACAGCAAACCACGTACTCTATGCGCGAATAAATTCATGCAAGGTAGGCGGGTTCCCTCCCACTGATTGACGATAAATTTCTCCCAGAAGATATAGCGAAAATATCCAAGCAATTATTGGCTTAAAGTATAAGAAGCGCAAGATAAATACTCGTTTGAATTTTGTGTTTTACTTTGCGCTTTTTTTAATCTGGCGCATTTAGAATCTCTAAAACCTATGGCAACTCTTAGAGCTCATGAACCCATGGCCTCATCATTAGAGATATTTCATTAGCTTCATCTAAGGAACGGAATATCGTGGTCAAGGTAAAAATGTCAACCATGACGTCAACGTTCGGTATCTGGATAGTTTGTACGATATTCGGGTCTGCATGTTTGTGTGTGTTGCGTCCGTGTAATGCGTAAAAGTGCACCGAGTCCGGTGCCATGCTCGAGGGCTGGTTGCGTCGGCAGTGGCGTGCTGTTGGCGTGCGCCCCCCCCCGCCCCTCCCCCCCCCCCCCCCCTCCCCCCCCCCTGCTTGTTAATACTGCCGCCTGGATAAAGCGTTTAATGGTGCGTTTTAGGCTGCACGTGCGTGTGCTTGGTGGTTGGTGCATATGTGCTTGCGCACAATACGCACGTAAATCATGGATGCACATTATCTACCACACCTTAAGGACACTCGGATTCCTTCGCCTAATTCACATTGGACGCTGCGCGAAGTGATATTAACGGATCTATTTAGCGTGGCGTAAATGAACCACTCGTCAGCACAGTGACAGCCTAGCCGATTTCGTTACTGCGAGTAAGTGCTTTGTCGCCAAAAACTATTTTCGGCGCATGGAACACAGATGCGCACAGATTAATCTTATCAGCACCGTATTTATAGGGTATTGCATCGCAACGCTACTTACGACGGATTTTATGTCATACGAGTGATGCGAGGGGGGTGGATTATATTTCCACAATGCTCAGCGAAATCTACTATTCACGAAAGCAGCCATGTAATAACACCAATTTATTGTAGAGATCCAGTTAAGGGCTGTTCCTCCGTCTAATTTATGAGAAAGGGCATTTACTAACCTGCGCTATCTATCTATCTATCTATCTATCTATCTATCTAATCTATCTGTCTGTTCTGTCTGCTCTGTTTGTCTCGCCTGCGCTGTCTGTCTGCCTAGTGTATCTATCTATCTTTTTTTGTTTGTTCTTTCTTTCTTTCTATCTATTTTATTTATCTATCTTTCTAATCGTACTCTACCTATCTATTATATCGTATCTATCTATCTATCTATCTATCTATCCTTACTCTATCTATCTATCTATCTATCGTATCTATCGTATCTATCTATCTATCTGTCTGTCTATCATTTCTACTCTCTCCTATCCATCTATCTACTGTATTCTAACTACTATCCATCTATCTCTCCATTCTACTATCTCTGTCTACTACTTACCTACCTACGCTACTACTACCTACCTACGCTGGCCTGCTGCCTGCCTACCTACGACCGACCGACGACGACGACGACCGAACCGACCGGACCGGACCGACGACCCGATCGACACGACCGACGATCCGAGCGACCGACCGACGACCGACCGACGACCGACGACCGACCGACGAACCGGACGCGACCGAGCTCCGACCGACCGACGCGACGACGACCGACCGCGACGACCGCGAGCGACCGACCGCGACCGACGAGCGACCGGCGACGACGACCGACGACCCCGAACCGAGCCGACCGACGACGCACCGACCGAGCCGCACCGGAACGACCGCGCGACTGCGACCGCATCCGACCGAGCCGCGGCCGACCGACACCGGACCGACCCGACCGACCGACCTACCTACCCTACCTACCTACGCTACCTACGCTGACTATGGCATTGGCCTGTCTGTCTGGTCTATGTATCTGATCTATCATCTTCTACTCTATATCTTAATATCTATATCTGTTATATATATAATAATCTTACTATGTCTTATATATAATATATATATACTTATATATGAATATATTGGTTTTGAACAGATCTCTTGTGGCCGCTTTGCATCGAACGGTTACAGCCCAAGATTTGCGTCTAGTCGCGACATTGATCGGCCCAGCTTTCTTTCTAGCATCCTCTCAGCCTCTCACATAGAAATGAAATTATGAGATGGCCGCCGGTGGCATGCGAAATGTCCTGCCGTACAGGCCTACCGCATCTTTACTCGTCCGTCAATTAAACGCGTCTTAGCTGATCGAATCGATTTATCGCTGACAGCACGAGTAATCTGCGGGGACGCGTGACCTGTCCAGCGATTTGTCAGACAGAAGAGTAAGGAAGACGCGCACAAAGAGAGGCGATCTGTGAGCGAGACGAGAGAGAGAGAGAAGAAGAGGAGAGGATGAGAGAGGAGAGAGGCACTAGAGATGAAACGATGAGCCGAGGAGAGAGATGAGAGGAA